CATGCGCCAAATCCCTTATGTGAACAAATTCAATTGTCAAATAAAAGAAAAATGATTAACATTTTTGTATGATTCAGAGATTTTGACATATTTATTTGCATATTCAATCAAAATATTAGGAAAAGTGATTTTCAAATCGTTAAATTTATTCATAAAGGGGGTTCTGTGCATGATTAATTAAAACACAGGAGGGTTTGACGCATTTTTTAAATCACAGGGGGCTAATGCGCCGAATTTCCAAATCACAGGGGGGTTTGGTGCATTAAACCCATCTAAATAGGAACAATAGCAGATTCCACATCAGGATGAAATTGTGGTGTCCATTTATTAACCTTCACAGGGCCGTAGATGAGGGCGTGCAAGAAGTGCTACCGCACAGGGCCTCTCGATTCAGAAGGCCCAAAATTTTAAATATAGTCTACATAATATACAAAATCCTTTTTTATTTGATTAAAGATTCCTATTTTAGTATTTTGTTTTTAAATACAAACATTGAATACTAATATTTATATGTAATTAAAATGCAATTGTTAATTATGAATGTGCAACTTTTTTATTACATAAGGTCTGGATGAGGCCTAGTTATAGTAATTAGCACAAATTCTTCGTACAGTTTGGACGAGATTGGTTTTAAGGGACGGAGGGAGTAGTTTTTTCTGTAATATCCTACTCTATAGTTTTTAGTTCATGATTTTAATTCATTTCTTTTCGGTTTTAGTTATTGTTTACCGATTTTGGTTGTTCAGGTTCGAAATATGATTATATCTCAATGTTACATTTGATTTTAGTTTTTTTGGGTTATTTTTTAAAGGCTTCTTTTTATATTATATTTATTTAAAAAAAGACCTATTTTACGTGATTTGCACCGGGTCTCCTAATCTATTGAGTCGGTCTTGAATAACCATGAATAGACCAAGAGCAACGTAGCCAAGATCTTTGAATAAACTTCACACTTTCCTGTTTGGGACGGTCTAAAATAAACTTCACACTTCCTTATTTCCTTTTTTGGCAAAGAAATCTACATCAAAACAGTGCCAAACAGTGTTAAACAGTGTCTCAATAGTGCCAAACAGTGTCTCTACAGTGCCAAACAGTGTCAAACAGTGCCTCAACAGTGTACTCTACAGTAAAGTCAAATTTCTTTTCTTATTTTGTGTGAAGTCAAACTGTGAAGATTAAAAAAAACCGGAGGTAGTATATAATAAGAACATGCTTACGCGCTAATAACCCCAACTGAAAGAACCTTTGCAACCAATAATTTTGAATGCCTTTCTTATGATCTCAAGCTTAGGACAACCATTGAGAAAGGATCTGACCACAACAAATTGGTGTTTCGCGCGAGAATACTGACTTCCTCATTAGTAAAAACAAAATAGAAAATTGTCCAACATAGGACTAAAATTCAATATTTTTATCAAAATAGGATCGCATGCATGTTTTTCTCTAAATAGGACTAACCTTACCTTTTTTACCCCTAATTCTATTTAATTAATTAATTGATCTAAATAATTGCCCCCCTAGTTTCCTTGCACAACCAAGGCAGTCCGTCGGTGGCGGGGCAGTCCGTGGTGGCGGCAGCACTCCGGCAGCGGCCGGCGGCGAATTACGGCGGCGGCGGCGGCAACTCCGGCAATTAATTAACCCAATAAATTGCCCCCCAGTTCTCTTGCACAACCAAGGCAGTCCGTTGGTAGCGGGGCAGTCTGGAGGTGGCGGCAGCGGAAGAGGCGGTTTCCGGTGGCGGCCGCGGTTTCCGGCGGCGGCAGGTGGCGGCAGAATGTTGGCAAACCTCCAGGAAAAAAATCTGGAATTTTTCCGGCGGCAGGCGACGGTCCGGCAGTCCCTGGGCAGCAGTGGTAAAGGTTGTGAGGGGTATTTTGGTCCAATCACTAATAAAAAGTCATATTTAAGGATGTTTAAACTAGGTACTCCTATTTTGAGAAAAAAAAACCATGTTTTGATCCTATTAAGGTAAATCTCCCAAAACAAAAAAGGGCATACCTTTAAATCTTGATGGTTGCTTGATTTGTATCTCTTCCTATGATCGGCGATTCTCTGACCGGGAATGCTGGCGGTTTCACCGTTGTGGTTGGTGGGTCGATCATCAATCGCAAATTTTCGCTCCAAAAATTGGCTGAATCGGTTGCTTGTGTTGAAATTATTAAAGTTCTGGCTGAAGTGACTGTATTGGCTGATTATGTTGATTTATGGAAAAAAAATTAAAATATATTTTGTTAATAAAATAAAGAAAACATTATATGAAAAATAGCTAAAATGGTCATCTACAATAACTTCAGCCAATACAACCAGAAAAGTAACTTCAACCTTACTTTTTCTTATTATTACACAGTTTAGCACCATAAATCAAAAGTTGTGTGTTTGGTTAAAAAGCTGACTGATAAGCCTGATAAACCAAAAACAGAATCACCAAATGAGCTCGCAATCTTTAAAACTATAGATACTCAAGGAACAACAATTAAAGAATTGATACAAATCTTATAATACTGTTACCAAATAGTTTTTTAAAATGTGAAATGCATACCCTTTTTGTAATCACAATGACCAATATATGAGAGTGAGGATCCTAGGATAGGTCCTAACACAAGGTGTATAATATGCAAGTCTTTCCCCCGTTAGATTTCGACAAGAACCCATGATCTCTCAGCCATACAACAACATCTTAACCGGTGAGCTATGCTCCCATTCTGTAATCATAACACAAGAGACAAAACTTGTTAAGACTCCCCTTGTTTTGAGCATAGTTACCGGTGGGCGTAGCTCAACTAGTAGCGAGGGAGTGCCACAAGGGTTAGGTCCCGGGTTCAACTCTTGGCAACTGCGATGAGAGGTTACTCAAAAGAGGGCTTCTGCAAGTACCGGGGATGGAATTCCACTCTCTAATCTATCTGTCAGATTGTGATTATAGTCCAATTTGCATCCTCACATCGTGTCGTCCGGTCAGTGTTGGGGGGACCCTCAGAGATGGAGTGTCATCCTTTTTTGTTTTGAGCACAGTTGTTCTCTTTAGGACTGTCACAAATAATTCATGTACGTTGCATGCATAGAGGAGTGGTATATTGTAACCCAAAATGGGGTACCCATTTTGGGATACCTTTAGCTTTTTTCTATTGTTTTGACTTCTAACCCAACGTAAAAAGAAGAGAAGTACCGTGACGCAAAAAGAAAAGCTGAGGTAGTAAAAAACAGTAAAAAATGGACTCAATTCTCAAAGCCAGAAAGAAATAATGAGTTGAAAAATTTCTAAACGCAACTAATTAAGTGGTTAAGGACGTATTTTTTGGACTCATAAATGTTTGTTCTCTGTGTATTTTGTAATTATAGAACTAAGAAGCTAAGACGTGATCAAACCAGACTTTTGTAGTTATAAGGAAAAATTGATGGTAACAATTCCAACTATAAGCGGTCTGCTCATAATAATCCCAACTATCGATTATTTCAGAATAATCCCAACTATAAGCGGTTCACTCATAATAATCCCAACTATTGATTATTTCAGAATAATCTCAACTTTAGGGACCTTCCGCCAATAATGGTCTGGCGTGACCGGCTATAAATAAATTCATATATTTTTTTTTTAAAAATGAAATAACCATTTCATTGATAATCAGATCTTAACAAGAAAGATAACAAATAAAAGCCGAAGCATTACAATCATAGCGTTCAATACTACACTATGGTGAGACAAAGAACAAAAACGCCATATAAAAGCACTCATGTTCGTTAACCCTGCAATAATGTAGACTCGTACCGCAGTGTGTGTGTTCATGCTACTCGAAATGGGTTCGACTTGACCAGCCAGCGAAAAGGAATTATTGAACTTGCCGGTTTTTCCAGCCACCAGTAAGAAGTCAAGTGCAGATATTATTCCGGTTTAACCAGCCACCGGAAAGAAAGCAATCCATCCAATGTCATCTTCCTGGATCGGCGGTGGTTCAGGATGGGGGGGGATCGGCCTCTATATCGATGCAGAAGAAATATTGATTCATGATTGATAAAGAAGGCAATAGAAACCTCTTACTAGCACACAAGAACACCCGACCAATGATGGCGGGGAATATAGATCTGGCGAGGGACACTTCGCCACCGAAAATATATCTCTAGACAAAGCTAGGAAATAAACGTGTAGATAGAACTGAAAATACTGATTAAACGAAACTTTTTCCATGATTGAAGTCAAAAGAAGAGAAGAAAAGAAGGAAGGAAGAGGAGGAGGCGGCTAGGGTTTCCCTTCGCCGCTCCTCTCTCCCCTCGACAGGAGTTCCAGTGATACTTTGCGTTTTATCAAATAAATTTATATAGTTTCTAAAGTGGATGAGAAGAGATACAGCAGGTAGTCCCTATAAATAATTTCAACTTTTAATTTTTACCCTTAATTTCTATTTAAAATTCATATGTTATAACAGGTAATATCCGGTCATGGACCATTATTGGCGAAGGGTCCATATATTTGGGATTATACAAAAATAATATAGTTGAAATTATTGTTTGCGGACCGGAAATAGTTGAGATTATTATTTTCAATTTTTCCTAGTTATAAAATACACAGAGAAAAACATTTATCAAACAAGAGTACATTAGTTAAGACCGGACGAGGTCATATTCTAATAGACCAAACCAGATGAGAAAAATACATTTCAATTCAAAAAAAACATCCTAACATAGTAACATACGGACTATAGTACTACGTATATGTCTGCGTAGAAATTAAATGAAATACGGTGGAGTCAAAATAGAGAGAGAAAAGGCATGCGAAAATAAAGTAGCTGAAGAGAACGTACAACACCTGCTTCCTGTGGGCAAAAGAGGGGAGATCCCAGCCGTCAGAATCAGCTGCCAGCTACAGCTATATCTACTCTCTACCTAGCTACTTAGCTACTCCTCCCACCCCCCACCTACCCACCACCCTATCCCACGCCGTCCGGCCACCCCACTTCCTCCATCCGCCTTTAAATCCCTCCTCGATCTCTTCATCACCTCCCATCCAAACCCACATTTAGAGAGAGAGAAAGTAAAGAGAAAGATAGCAGCAGGCCAGTAGAGTGTTACGTTACGTTTATGCATGTCCCCATAATACAAAGTTAAATTATATCATCATCATCATCTTGATCGTCTTGATCGAGTTCATCGGCAGCTAGCAACCCAGATTGGCCGGGATCGGAACTACATACTGAAGATCCATCGATATATAACAATGCAGGTCGTGAAAGAATCAGTCGGAGTGGACGCCGGCGGCGGAGACGGCCGGCAGGGGATGAGGATGCTGCAGTCGACCTACGAGCGAGTCCGGCTCCTCGCGTCCAGCAACGCGGTGGTCATCTTCACGCTCAGCGGCTGCTGCATGTGCCACGTCGTCAAGCAGCTCCTCTTCGGCCTCGGGGTCGGCCCCACCATCGTGGAGCTCGACCGCGACGCCGACGGGCGCGAAATCTACGCCCTCCTCCTCAAGCTCGCCGGCTCCGGCCAGCAGCAGGCCGTCCCGGCGGTGTTCGTCGGCGGGAAGTTCTTGGGCGGGATCGAGACGGTCATGGCTTGCCACATCAACGGCACACTCGTCCCTCTGCTCAAGGAAGCCGGGGCTCTGTGGCTCTGACCGGCGGCCGGGGATCTTGAATTCACGGTCGGCCGGAACCCATATATATTTGACCAAGCAGACAGGCGTAAACCCTAAGTAGGTAGCAACATATATATATAGGACTATAGAATATGACATGCATGCATGCCTTTGATCTGTTTCAGGGGGACAAACAGACATATTATGTGGATCAGAGCCCAGAAAATGTCTCTTTACTTCAATTCAGATATCAGTCACTCTCATCTGTTTTTATTTGAATCCATTAATTATTTAATTAATGGCTAGGCTTACTTTCTCATTATAATTAGTACGAATTGAAGTTTTTATTTGAATCTTTGTATAATATGTAGTGCTCGCTTCTAATATAATTATTACGTATTTGGTATTAATTATCATGTAATCTAATCTAATTACGATCCCTGTCATCATTTGTCAATTGGTTTTTGTTTGAACTTCTTCAATTCTGGATCGATTAATTTAATCAGTTTTCCTTTGACATTTATTTATGCTTAAAGTTGGTTTCCTTTATGCATGTAAAAGGCAAGGATAAATCATGTGCGAATGATTGTGTATATCAGCAAACCTGTTTGGAACCTAATAATGATTTCACTGAAATGAAAGTTGCTGAATTTCATGAAACTAAACCTGCTATATTTCCTAAATTATTAAAAGATGGAATCAAATCTTTTAAACTACTACGTATAACAATATTTGCAAATGAAGTCAAAAACATAATATAATTTCGATTTGTGTGTGAGTCGCTTTTGTTAAAAAAAAAGGTCTCAACTCTGCATTCTTTTTATGATTTATTGTCCGATTAGTATACGCAGAATAATTAATATTCTGCCCAACAAACTGTTGAAGCATGAGACATTTTCATAGAAGCATCCTGATTCTTTTAGATTGTTCTAGAGAATCTATATTAAGTTGGTCCAGCAACATAGAATACAAAAGGATGAGTCTCTTAGACTTCTTGTATTAATTAGAGTCTTAACATATTCCTGGTGGTCTAGAATAATCTATCTAAACTATAAATAAGGTGCTGTCAGTCAGTTCTATGTATCAAAAAATTCATCAATAATATTTCTCACATATTTCCCATTCTCCCTTGCTTTCATACTACAAACTAAGAAGTGGTATCAGAGCTGAAAGATCTTTAGGGCCACCAATCATGGCCTCCACATCAAGCACAACACCAACAATTTCTGTGCCAGCACCTCCTGTATTCGGAGGAGAAAACTATGACTATTGGAGAATTAAAATGAAGCTCTTCTTGAGATCAAGTTCATTGTGGGAGATAGTAGAGAGTGGTCCCCAACAACAACAACAACAACAACAACAAGGGGTTGAATACATTGATGCAGAATTAAAGAAGATAAGTGAAGATGAGTTAAAAGATGCCAAAGCCTTGTCTTACATTCTCAATGCAGTTACAGAGACCATATTCCCCAAAATCATGCGAGTGTCAACGGCAAAAGAAGCATGAGATTCACTCCAGCAAGAATTTCATGGAGATGAAAAGATAAGGGCCATACGACTCAACACTTTAAGGAAGGATTTCGAGAATTTGAAGATGGGGGACAATGAAGACATAAAACATTACACTTCCAGGTTAATGGAGGTTGTTAATCAAATGAAAATTTACGATGAAGATATCAAAGATTCAAGAATTGTGCAGAAAATTCTTGGAACCTTGACCAAAAAGTTTAACACAATTATCTCTATTATTGAGGAATCCAAGGACACATCAAAGCTCACACTGTTGGAGCTAGTTGGATCGTTGCTCGCACATGAACAAGAGTTCAAGCACCAGTCCGAGGTGGTTCCTATTGAGGATGCTTTTCAGTCCAAGCATAAGCCAAAGACTTTGGAGCCTAAAGGGAGCAATAATTACTGGAAGAAGAAAGGTAGTTCTACATATTTTGGAGGTGGCTATAAAAAACAGGCTACTCAATCAAGGGGAAAATTCCCTCCTTGTGGCACATGCGGAAAGACAAATCATGCCGAAAAGGATTGTTATTTCAAAGGTAAACCTCAATGCCTCTACTCCAAGAGGTTTGGTCATATTGAGAAGGAGTGTAGACAGAAACAAATGGAGTCCAAAACAGAAGCTCATTTTTCAAGTAGCAATCAATATGAATCTCTTCTATGCGCGCCAAGCAATAGCCACCAACAATAAGAGATAGTTAATTGATAGTGGTTGTACAAATCACATGACAAATGATTCCAGCATCTTTGGCAAACTGGATACTTCTGTCCAAACTCCATTTCGCATGGGAAATGGTGAAGTTGTGAAATCTAAAGGTAGGGGAACAGTAGCTATTGCAACAAAGAGAGGTACGAAGTATATTAATGATGTGCTTCTTGTCCCGGATCTTGCTGAAAACTTGCTTAGTGTGGCACAAATGATAAAAAATGGTTATTCACTCGTTTTTAAGAATAACCATTGCACCATATATGATCCCGATAGAAAGGAGATTGCTAAAGTAATGGTGGAGAACAAAAGTTTCTCACTAAAGTGGAGCTACGCAGAGGAGGCATCTAATAGAGCAACCACTGGAGACACATGGCTATGGCATAGAAGGTATGGGCATTTCAACTTGCGTGCCCTAGCTGACCTTCACAAGCATAATGTTGTGCGAGATTTTCGTTCAATTCACATCACTAAAGAGCTATGTGAGCCATGCCAACTTGGAAAGACCGACTACCATTTCCAAGAGGACAAGCATGGAGAGCAAAGGAGAAATTGGAGCTTGTTCACGCGGATGTATGTGGTCCTCAAAGAACATTGTCTCTTCACAAAAACAGATACTTCATCTTGTTTATTGATGACTTTACTCGAATGACTTGGGTGTACTTCATGAAAGAAAAATCAAAAGTTTTCCAAGTCTTCAAGAAATGTAAGGCACTAGCTGAAAACCAATGTGGCTCCAAACTGAAGATGTTAAGATCTGACAAAGGAAAGAAGTATACTTCAACAGAATTTGATGAGTTTTGTAAAGATGAAGGCGTGGAACATCAGCTTACTGTTGGGTATACGCCTCGGCAGAATGGAGTTTCGGAAAGAAAAAACAGAACTGTTATGGAAATGGCAAGATGTATGTTGGCAGAAAAGAAAATGCCAAAGAAATTCTGGGCGGATGCTGTTTATACCTCTGTATACTTGCTTAATAGACTTCCTACAAAGGCAATTCAAGGTAAAACTTCTATAGAAGCTTGGAGCGGGAAAAAGCCTATAGCGAAGCATCTAAAGGTGTTCGGTTCAATCTGTTATGCTCATATTCCAGCTCAAAAAAGGGGCAAACTTGATGAAAAGGCAGAAAAAGGGGTCTTTGTTGGCTATGATTCCAAGTCAAAAGGCTATAGGATCTTCAACCTTGAATCACAGAAGATCGTGGTCAGCAGAGATGTGGAATTTGACGAAGACACGATTTGGAATTGGGAAGAGAAGAAGGTTGAAAGAAGAGTGACATTACTCTCCCATTCTAATGAGCAACAGGGATCGGAATGTGATACGAATGCTGGCAGTGATCTGAATTCAGAGCCTCACACACCACATTCATCTTCTGGGCAGGGAGAATCGCTATCTTCGAATGGAAATTCAGAAAATGCTACAGGCCCTCGTGGTAAGAGGTCACTCTCTGCAATATATAGTGATTGCCCTATCATCCATTTAGATCCAGAGGAGTGTGAGCGATGTTACTTTGCCATTGAAGTGCCAAGAGACTATAATGATGCGGTCAAACATAAGGAATGGCTGGATGCTATGGAAACAGAGATCAGCATGATAAAGAAGAACAAAACATGGGAGTTAGTTGACAAGCCTGTAGATCGAAAGGTGATTGGCGTGAAATGGATCTACAAAACCAAACTAAATCCTGATGGATCTATTAATAAACACAAGGCCAGGCTAGTTGTAAAAGGATACTCCCAACGAGCCGGAATCGATTATGGAGATACATTTGCTCCGGGTGCCAGACACGACACAGTCCGGACCCTCATTGCTCTAGCTGCGCAAGAAAGGTGGAAAATATTTCAGCTTGATGTTAAATCTGTCTTCCTCAATGGAGAACTCGAGGAGGAGATTTACATTGAGCAACCACCAGGATTTGTCAAGAGAGGAGAAGAAGAGAAGGTGTGTAAATTGAGAAAGGCTTTATATGGCTTAAAACAAGCCCCGCGAGCATGGTACAGCAAGATAGACTCTTACTTTCTTGAGCAAGGCTTCAAGAGAAGTAAAAATGAACACACACTCTATGTAAAGAAAGAAGGGGAGAATAATCTTCTGATTGTGTCCCTCTATGTTGATGATCTCCCTGTCACGGGAAACAATACCAAGATGATCCTTACATTTGAGGAGATGAAAAAGAAGCTTGAAATGAAAGATTTGGGTCTAATGAACTTCTTTCTTGGCATGGAAGTCCACCAGACAGAAGATGGGATCTTTATCTCTCAAACCAAGTATGCTCGTGAGATTCTTAAAAGGTTTAGAATGGAGCAGTGCAAGCCGGTTGCTACACCTCTTGTAGTGAATGATAAGCTTGCCAATTCTGATGGCTCTAGGAAAGTTGACGCAAAAACGTACAGAAGCTTGGTTCAAAGTTTACTGTATATATCACAGCAACCAGACCTGATTTGATGTTCGCTGCAAGTTTAGTGTCAAGATTCATGAATGAGCCGAGTGAGGTTCATATGGGTGTTGCAAAGAGAGCACTCAGGTACATAAAAGGCACTTTAGAGTTTGGAGTATTTTACCAACCTTGCTCAGATCCAAGGATGATAATATTTTCAGATAGCGATTGGGGAGGTTCAGTCAATGATATGAAAAGTACTTCAGGGTATGCTTTCTCTTTTGGATCAGGAGTGTTTTCGTGGAATTCTAAGAAGCAAGATGTTACTGCTCAGTCCACAGCTGAAGCTGAGTATGTGGCAGCCTCAGCAGCCGTCAATCAAGCAATATGGCTCAAGAAAATATTGGCAGATTTAAGCTACAAACAAGATGAAGCTACTGAGATCCTAGATGATAACAAGTCAGCCATTTCTATCTCTAAAAATCCCGTCTGTTTCAGCAAGACGAAGCACATGAAAGTCAAGTTTTATGCACTTCAGGATGCAGAACATGATAAGAAAGTGAAACTTGTTCACTGTCCCTCTGAGTTCTAGCTTGCAGACATCTTAACTAAAGCCTTACCAAAAGGCAGGTTTGATTTCCTCAGGTCCAAGCTCGGTGTTACAGGGAAAAGTCTCAAGGAGGAGTGTTGAAGCATGAGACTTTTTCATAGAAGCATCCTGATTCTTTTAGATTGTTCTAGAGAATCTTTATTAAGTTGGTCCAGCAACATAGAATACAAAAGGATGAGTCTCTTAGACTTCTTGTATTAATTAGAGTCTTAACATATTCCTGGAGGTCTAGAATAATCTATCTAAACTATAAATAAGGTGCGGTCAGTCAGTTCTATGTATCAAAAAATTCATCAATAA